GGGGGCGCTGGGCCCGGGGCCGGGAGGGCTCCCGTGGTGCGGGGCGAGGAGGGGGCCGCCGGTCCCCGCGGTGCCAGGAGGGTCTGGGGCCTCTGAGCGGCGGGGAGGGAAACGGCCGGCACCCCGGGGCCCTGAGGAGGGGGGTTCCCCCCCCCCCCCGGGCTCGACCCTTGGCTCCGTTGCAGAGGGCGGCGCGGCGCCGGCGGCAGCGCGGCCCGTGGTGGTTCTGCTGGGCTGGGCCGGCTGTCGGGACCGGCACCTGGCCAAGTACAGCGCGATCTACAGCCACACGGTGAGCGGCGCCCGGCCTGCCCGGGCCCTGCCGGAGCCGGAGCCGGAGCCCGCGCGCGGGGCAGGCCGCGCGGGCCGAGCCCTCGGTGCCAGCCGGGGCTCCTGGCGCCGGGAGCTCGCGGTATCTCAGCCCGCGCTGAGCTCCTCTCCGCTCGTGCAGCGCAGCTGGGAGACCAGAATAGCTCAGAGTGCCCCGGTGTGAATCGCTGGAGTATTTTAAGACTTTTAAAACCGAGATTCTTAATGTGATCCTCAAACTATAGGTTCCTTTTGTCCCCCAAACCCATGGATTTACTGCTTGCTAATGTGCCCCAGACCTGGCAAGGCCACTTTGGAGACTGAGAGCGCTCGTCAGCACCTGTCATTCCCTTGGCTTTTCCTTTGTGCTGAGCTAGTTCATCTGTATGTCGTATTCCAATTCTTTCATCCTTTTTGAGGAGCAGGTGTCCGGTGATACTGATGTCTGCCCATCAGCAGCCCTCGGTGTTTGGAATAAAGAGCTCGTCCAGCTGCTCGTCCCTTAAGCTGCAGCCTGTTCCTTTTTAATCCTGGAATTTACTGGAATGTCCTCTGCTTGTGGTGCTGGGACACATCTAAACACTGATTGTTTTATTTTTGTGGAAGTACCAGAATTTTGTTTTTATGAAGTCCATTTCAGCCTTGTAAATTAACAAGTGTGTTGTTAATATTTAATCGAGCTCATTGGCTTGTTCTAGTGAAAAATTAATTGTTAAGTGATTATTATGGTTAAGAGATGCTGCTGATCAGATGAGCTTATTACATGCCAACTCCCGTGGAATACTTTTCTATCAGGATAATGGGAATGGAAAAGGAGAGAAGAGGGTCTCTTAGGTCCTCCTGATGAGGAAGTGGCTGTGGCTTTGGCAAGACGACGTACAGACCTTTGATTTGAGAACTGAAACTTGACCTCGCTGTTCAGGCGACTCGGGGAGGGAGGGTGGCTGTGGTGCCTTTGCCTTGCAGTGGTCAGCGCATAGAGACGGGGGCTCAGGGGTTATGAAGCTCAGGTAGAAACTTCTTTGAGATCGTTTCCCAATTTGTGAGAGCCCAAGTGTAATGGCAAGTTGCATTGGCCTTCTTGTGCTTGGAACCAGCTCTTTTCACTTGCACAACTCGAGTTTCGGAGAGGATTGCAGAATCACAGCGGTGCTTATCGGGGTGAGTCCTAGAGACACCTGCACATGGGCAGTGCCAAAGGACTGCAGGCAGTTGCTTTTATTTGTTTCACTTTTGGAAATAGTTGTTTTGCCCATTGCTGGAGATTTGTAAGTTAGTTTGTCTACCTATTTATTTATTGTTCTTGGTTGAAGATTAACACTCGTAGCAGCGTCGGTGGCAGTGTCCTTAGGGCCTGTGCTAATTAGCACAAGACTTGGACGGATCTTAAGTGCCAGCAAATCCAGGTGCTCTGCTATTGCAAAACCTTTCACAGTGCAGAGTGCTCCAGTGATTGCTGCAGTCCCGTCCCTATTGTGCCTTGCTGTTGAAGAGCTTCTTGCGGGGCCTCTGTTGGAAACCTGACCCAAAACTTTGTATTCTCTATCCTAATGTTTGTCTACTCTGTGTAGCTCACATCACAGCCCAAAGCGGGGGTCTCTAGCTGTGTTTTGTGTGCTTGTTTTCTGTTTTAGGGGTGCGCCACCATCCGCTACACAGCTCCATGGAGGATGGTGTTCTTCTCAGAGTCTTTTGGCATCAAATCCCTCCAGACTCCAGCTAAGAGACTCCTGGAGCTTCTCTTCGACTACAGCATGGAAAACAGACCCATTCTGTTCCACGTTTTCAGCAACGGTGGGGTTATGCTCTACCGCTATATCCTCGAGGCTCTCCACACGCAGCAGCCCTTCAAGAGCCTCCGAGTAGTGGGCACCATTTTTGACAGTGCCCCTGGCAGGAGAAACCTGAGGGGAGGCCTCCGTGCCTTGGAGACGGTCTTGATGTCCACTAACGTGCTGCTCAAGTACTTGCTGCTGTTCAGCTTCGCCGCCACGGCTGTCGTGCTGCGGATCGTGCTGTACCCGCTGACCCGCCTCGTCCACGAGACCCACTACGATGCCCTGCTGCGGGCGCCCTCGCGCTGGCCCGAGCTGTACCTGTACTCCCACGCTGACGCCATCATCCAGGCCAGCGATGTGGAGCAAATGTCGGAGGCCCGGCAGCGGCTCGGGCTCTCCGTAAAAGCCGTGGACTTTTCCGACTCCGCTCACGTGAGCCACTTGCGGGCCTATCCCGCCGCCTACACCAACCTCTGTAGGACGTTCCTGTCGGACTGTGTCCAGGGCTCGCCTCGCTAGCCCCGTGACAGCCGCCTCGGGGTGTCTCTGCTCAGCTCGGCGTGTGTGGGAGGTGTCACCCCCTTGCCTCTGTGTTCCTCAAGTGAGCAAAGCAGAGATTTTTCCCTCATCTTAGCACTTTTTTTTTTTTTTTTTACCACCAGATAAGTGTCTGCAAGCCTCCAGGCTGGCCACAGGAGGCCAGCAGCATAGCACAAATAGGTCTGGGTGATTTTAAGTCCCGAAGGTGAAATCCTCGCTTTACCTGTTTTACTGAAGTGTCTTAGACCAGAATTTCACCTGGAGTGTTGTCTGTTTCTTCCTGTGCTGTGTTCTCTGCTTTCCATGCTATGTTCTTGTTCCTGATGTGTAATGTGCATGATCTCTTGCTTGTGCCGGTCCTAACATTACAGTTCAATGTATTTGTTTTTTCGCTCTGCTTTTTCTTTCGTCTCGTAGTGAGCAAACAGAAGCAGCTCTGCAGGACTTCCCTCTTCTCTCAGCACATTGCAGCTCTGGTGCAGTTGGTGCTGGAGAGCAAGAGGCCACTGTAAGATCTGGGAAAGGTTTGTGCATGGAAATATGACCCAGCTGCCACCCGGTCTCATTAAAGGGCGTAGATGCATTGATAGCACAGCCAAAGCACTGATTCCCTTGCCCTGTGGCGGGGCTCAGATGTTTGTGATAACTTTTGTGTTCTTCAATTAAAACATCAGGTTCATCTCATTGGTTTTCTGCCTTTTTGTCTTTTCCGGGTTCTCCCGAGTGGTTTTACGTTCCTGGAGAAATGCTCATTTATTACTGCATGTCATGGAGCAGCCTGGATTGTACATCTGGAAATGCAGGGAAACTGGCATAGCCGTAACCCAAAAGACCTCCGAAATAGAATGGTGGAATTGGAGAGAAAAATGGAACTGTCTCTCAGAGCTATGATTTATACTATGTGTTTCTTAAATCGCTTCCACTGAGCTAGCCCACAAACGACCATGAAATTCAATGTTTTTCCCCATAGTGTTCTCCTCAGAGGATCCATCTTTGCTGTCTGTGCAGTGTGTTCTCATAATGCAAAGAAATGATTTCATTCTACACAGTGAAACGATAGCTTGTTGCGCTGCCTTTCAGCTTTGTTTGCTCTCGGGCCTTGTGATTTGTTCTGGGGAGGGATGGGGATGAAGTGAGAGGCAGAGCCTGCTACTCCTGTGTTTCCTCTGTGCCTCAGCACCACAAGCTCACTGCAACTGTGTGCATTTTTAGTCAGCTTTAGGTGCTTATTCTCAGATTGACAACAACAGCCCTGGGAGAGACACCTCTGAAAAACAGGAGACTGCCCTTGCAAGGTGGGAGCATGAAAATGTCCCAAAAAGTTTGTTTGGGGCTCCCAAAGTTTATGGGTGTTCTCTGCCGGTGCTCGACTCGCCGCTGCCTTGCTGTGCTGCCATGCACCGCTACCGGGCACTCGCTCTTCTGAAGGGAAGCACGGAGACACCTCCTTGGGAACCACTAGCATTAGTTCCAAGCTTAAAACATGAACCTTAACCCCTCACACAAGACACTACACAGGGTGAGTTGTGGCCCGTGGCTGTTTTTAGCATCTGTTTTTAGCACATTAACATGGCAACACTTACTTAAAACTCAGAATAACCCCACGTTAGGTTCTTTTAAAGGGTTGGCCTGTATGGGATAGGTGAGGATTGGCTGAAAAGGGGCTGACTGCTTGGCTTGTTTTTTGATTATTTAAGTCTCTAAATGAAACTGTCTCTAAGCAGGGGGCCCTTGCTGCCTGGGGCAAGGCTTGTGTAGGCTTAATCCTTGAATTTCGACTTCCACCTTGAAGATCAGCTGTGCGAGCTGCCCTGTGGTAGGAGATCCTTCAATATACATTTTTCTTAAAAAAAAAAAAATCTGTTTCTAAAACTTAGATCTATGAAATCCAGTGGCGATCCCTTATCCCAGAAAGTCCATCAGAGATTTATTATTATTATTTATTATTATTATTATTACCTAAATCTGGCAGGTGCTGTCGGTGCCGTAACTGCTAAGCTGTAGTCAGTGCTCCTGCCTTCCTGCAGAGCTCTGCTCTACCTGTCTGGAGCATCCAGCCGTTAGTGGGGCTGGCAATTCTTAGGGAGCAGAGGTGATAAAGGTCATTGAACTTGCACTTGCTGGTTCCTACGGGTTTGCTGTTCACAGAACACCTAAACACTTCATAATAAGCGCCTCTGGATTAATACGGCTGTGCAGGGCTGGGAATGTGCCTTTGCTGTTCATTGCCCTGGGTGTCGAGCCTCTCCCTGTGCCGACTTGGGCACTGCGGAGCGGATGGGAGCTAAACCCTCTGTCCCCGTGGCACAGGAAGGTCGGATCCCTCCGGGAAGAGCCAGGCAGGCATTCCAGCACCTTCAGCCTCCCCTTTCGTGTCTGATCCCGGGGCGGCAGCACCGGCCCTGGTTTCCAGGACCCATCACGTGTTTCCAGGCCCCACGAGCAAGGAAGGCTGCCCTTCCCTGCCCATCCAGTGCCCCGCCACCCGGGATTTGCTCACGGGCATTCCCACCCTTCCGAAAGCTGCTCCAGGTTCAGGATTCATTCATGTATCCACCTTTCTCAAAGAGCAGCGGAGGCGTCTCCAGCAGGCTGGTGATTTACAGAGGAAGTCGCCAGCACCGATCTCCGCGGTGGGTTTAGTTCTCCATATCCCAGCAAGTTTTAATCATGATCATGAGCGTTGTGTTAAATGTATTGTTGATATATTGTCTTTTCTTCCCTGTACAGCATGTATGTTCGCCCCTCTTTCCTGCCCTCTGTATTTCTGTTGCGTGTTATTTGAAACAGAAAGTTAATAACTTGGAGCCGGAGGGCGCGCAGCCAGGAACTGGTCCAAGCTCTACTGGATTTTTTAAAAAAGCAACCTCTAATCCTTGCTAAACTGTCACAGTTTGGTGCAGCCAGCGTTCCTGGAGAGCTTCAGCCTCGAGGGGCAAAGCCAGACACGGGGATATCTCGGTAAATCCCAGTAATCTCTGCGGCTACAGGAGGGCTCCTGCCCAGCGGCGCTTGGGGAGGCAGCGCGGCTGCCGACGTGCTTGGGGAGCAGGGGGCAGCGTGTGGCCGCCCCCGCTGTCCTGGGAGCCCCGCGATCGTTTCCCGTGGTCAGATGCTCGCATCGGGCCGGGTTGTGCAGGTGACATCCCTGTTGCAGCGGAGCCGATGCCCGGCGTTCCCGGCAAGGCAGCTTCCTGGTGAGGCTGGTTTTGCAAGAGCATCCATGGGCCTCTCCTTGGGGACGAGGACCTGGGATGAGCGTTCCAGGTGCCAGAGCTGCCATGCGCTCAGGCCACGTGCAGTCCTTCCTGCACAGGCCCTAGCAGGGCTGAGAGGTGCTGGTGGAAGGAACAAGGGCGCCTGATGCAAGGCCAGGGTGGCTGGGGAGGGCACTGAGCCTCTGATGAAGGGACAGGGTGACGGTTTGGGGAGCTGGGAGGCTGCAGAGGTGCCCTGGGGGCTCCAGCCCAGCCTGGAGCCGGGTTTTGGAGCAGGGGAAGGCCTGGGCAGAGGGAGGAATTCAAACCAGGCTGCAGGATAGGGACTGGTCTGTGCATGTACCTAATAAAGGCTTTGAAAGATCTTGTTGCCGATTGCACGTGCAGACAGGAGCTTGTGAAGAGGGTGCCCCTTTCTGTGTGCGCGGCGGCCCACGTGCAGAGCTGCAGCCGCCTGCGCGACACGGAAAAGGAGTCGTGGACAAAATATCCCCAAACCAGGAAGGGAAAGAAGCTCTTCCTCGAGCAGGAGGCAGCGGGGAGCCCGTGCAGGGTGTGCAGCGGTGCCGGCGGGACGCGGGATGCTCCGGACGCGGGATGCACGGCACGGCGGGATGCAGCGCGGAGGCCGGGAAGCAGACGCTGTTCCACGAGGTGGCAGCAGGTCCCCTCTTTCCTCGTGTCCCCGTCCACAGTTTTAGCCAGTTTTCCTGCAGGCTCCATCTGGGAAGAGGAGCCCCTCTCGTGCCGAGGCTGCGGGTGCTGCCGCTCAGCCCTGCGCCCGCTGCGCGGCCCTGGGCGCCTCGTGTCCTTGCAGGGGCCGCGGAGCCCTCGTCCCGCTGCGGGTGCCGGGGACCGCGCTGCAGGGCGCCAGGGAGCTGCTCCGCCTGGGGACACCGACCCGGCACACGGGGAGAGCGCAAGGGGTGTGTGGGAAGCAGCTTGGAAAGGGCGGCATTGAAATAACCTGTCGGCTGGGAAGTGCTTGGGCCTCAACCCGCGTCCCAGGCCTGGCCTGGGGCCGGGCGGAGGCGGCAGGACCCCCGTGTCCCCAGGGACATGGTTCAGCGCCAGCTTTGCAAGGAGCCCGGCTGTGCTCCGTGCCCGGCTGCGTCCCCGGGGCCCTGGGGCAGAGCGTGGGCAGCCCCTGCCCTCCGGGGTGATTAATGAGCTGACAATAGGGTATTGATAAGGAATTAACCTTGAGCCCGGCTTGCTTCAGTGTCAATAGAGCAGGAGCCAAGTACACACGTGTGACTGGGAGGCCTTGTCGGGCCTCGGCGCGCATCGACGGGCGGCCGCGCCGCGCTGTGCTCTGCATGCCGAGCGGGACGCGGCCGGGGGGGTCCCGGCGCTCCCCACGGCTGCCAGCCCCTCACCCGGGGCAGCCCCGGTGCCGTGGGGCTGGCCCTGACCCACAGCAAGGGGTCTGAGAGGGGCTTCGTGGTGCCACGGGGCAAGAGCCGCTCCGGTGCCACCCGGTACTGGTGTAGCGGGGAACCGGGATGGACCCCATCCTGGCCAGGCCTCCAGTTTGCTTAATTAAGTGTTTTGCCTAATGGGATTGCCTCATTTCCATAACAAACTGGCTGGCTGTCATTAGGTGGGCTCCCTCATTCATTACTGTTAATTAGATATGGATCCCCCAGAAGGCGGCGCGGGGTGATGAACGAGGCCCCTGACACACGCTATTACACATTAGCATTTTCTCAATACATTCGATATATCACGGCCCTCCGCTTCCTAAAGATATTCTAAATAAAATATTAGTGGCCTGCTGCAAGGGAGCCTCTCCGGCCCCTCATCCCGGCCTCAGGCCCGGGCCCCTTCCCAGGCCGGCTGGCCTGAAGGCACCGGGTCCTGGAGCCTGGTGATGGGGTGAGAGGCTCCGAGGAGCCCACGGGAGGCGGGTTTGTGCAAAAAAAGGAAAAAAAAAAACAAAAACAAAAGAAGACAAGAGAAGAGAAGGAAGAAGGACAAGAAAACAAAAGAAAGAAGAGGAGAAGCAGCAAGTTATTTTGCTCCTCTGGCTGCTGCAAAAGTTGTACCTGGACAGAGAAGAATCCCACGAAGCGGCCAAGCTGCTGCTGTCCCGCACGGAGCCCGGTCACCCCGGCTGCCCCAGGCCAGGACCCCGTTGCCCGTCCCCAGGGGCACCCGTCCCGCGGGGCAGCGCTGGGTGCAGGGCAGCTCCCCACGGGCCCCGTGCCGCGTGTCTGTAACCCGAACGCGGCGCCGGTGCCGCCTGCCCCCAGCGCCGCTCCCCGTGGCGGGTAACCCAACCCGGCGTCGGCGGCCCCTAATGCAGCCGTATGGATCTGTTGGGGCTGCCGGCCGCCCGCCCCGCGCCGCCGCGCGGCCCTGACGCGGCTGCGACTTCATTAGCGGGGCCTGGGCCCCCGCGGCGCCCTGACCCGCTGCCCCCCGGACAGGCACCCTCTGTCCCTGGGGCCCCCTGCCCCACCGGCCCAGCCCCCGGCCCCTCTGCCCTCTCCTCTTCCCCTTCCTCCCTTTTCTTTTCCCCTTCCTCTTGCCCTTCTTCCTTTTCCCATCCCCTTTCCCCTTCTCTTTCCCCTTCCTCTTTCCTTTTCTTTTCTCCTTCCTCTTGCCCTTCTTCCTTTTCCCATCCCCTTTCCCCTTCTCTTTCCCCTTCCTCTTTCCTTTTCTTTTCTCCTTCCTCTTGCCCTTCTTCCTTTTCCCATCCCCTTTCCCCTTCTCTTTCCCCTTCCTCTTTCCTTTTCTTTTCTCCTTCCTCTTGCCCTTCTTCCTTTTCCCATCCCCTTTCCCCTTCTCTTTCCCCTTCCTCTTTCCTTTTCTTTTCTCCTTCCTCTTGCCCTTCTTCCTTTTCCCATCCCCTTTCCCCTTCTCTTTCCCCTTCCTCTTTCCTTTTCTTTTCTCCTTTCCTCTTACTTTTCCCCTTCCCCTCCTTCCCTTTTCCTTTTCCCTTCCCTTCCCCTTCCCTTTCCCCTTTTCTCTTGTTCCCTTCCCCCCCCCCCTTTTTTTTCCTCTTCCCCTTTTCCCTCCCATTCCCCCTCTCCCACCCCAGTAGTTTCCAACGCAGGGGGGCAGCTCCCGGAGCGGTGCTGGGGGCTGAGGGCAGTGCCTGCCCCACGGCCGCAGCCTGAGCTCTGCGGTGGCCCCAGGGTCCCCTCACATTGTCCCCAGTGTCCCCCAGCCCTGTCCCAGGCCCTGCTTCCCATCCCGCCGCCGGGAGCCATCCCGGCTCCGGAGCCGCTCGGCACCCTGCGCACGCACAAGGAGACACGGAGACGGCGGGAGGGCCCGACAAGATTTATACTTGTTTAATTAATGTCAAATGTAGTTTACAAACGGGAGTGACAAGTACCTCTTTGTATAATATACACTGACACACAATCATTGACACACCGGAATATCGCTTTGTGCAACGGGGGCTCTTTGGGCAAAGGTAGGTAACTCCGATTCCTTTTTTTTTTTTTTCCTTTTTTCCCCAATGTTTTCACCTTGTTACAGCAGAGGGGCCGGGGCCGGTGCCTGCTCCTGGTGCAGCTCTCGCCCTCCAGAACAGGGGCCGGCTTTACACTTCAAACGGGAACAGAAAACCCAGCAGTGACTGTTACAAATGGTTTTACACGTACGTACACAGGGCACACGGCTGCCCACATGCGCCAGGAATCCCGGCTCCAGGGGCCTGTTCCCAAAGCAGGGCCGGGCGGGGGACCTGCCCTCTCCCCCTTCCCGGCTGCCGCTGGGAAGTGCCCCGGGAGCTCCGCGGTCCTGCCCGGGTTGCCCTCGGCTCCACGGTGCCTCCCCACAAGCTGAGACCCCTCAGAACTCCAGGCCCTGCTTCTCGCGCCTGCCTCTCCCCGTTGGATCCAGGGATGAACCAGCCGGGAGAACAGGGCGGGTGCAGCCCTTGTCCTGCTCACGGGCTCGCCGGGATGAGCCGGACCCTCCTGCCAGGGCTCGGCAGCCTCTGGTGCCCGGGGAGCTCCCGTGGCTGCAGCCACCTCCTGCTCCGAGGCCCGGGACACAGCTCCGCACTGCACACTGCTGCAAGATCGTGACAAAACGGCTCCCGCCTCGGGGTGCATTTTCCTTTCAGGGTGCGGTTGGGATCCCTCTGAAATCGCTCAGGACACTGAGGAAAGGGGCTGCTCTCCGGGGCAAGCAGCAGGCACGCGGCAGGGCTGGCCTGGGGACACGCTGCCCCCTGAGCTGCCACCTCCTCAAACATCCCACGGGAGCCGGTGGCTCTGCTCCCATCCCACCCGGGACCTGCCCTGCGCTGGCTGCTCTGTGCCTGAGCAAACCCGGCAAACACACACACCGCCCTCCCCAAGCGTCCAGCAGCTTCCCCGCGCCTGCCGTGCCGCGCTCCCAGCGGGAATGTGCTCCCAGCGACCCTGCCGGAGCAAGGGGAGATGCAGTTCCCCATTCCCGACTTCCTGCGGCGGCCCGGCCCCCAACCTGCACACGGGCTGCGCGTTCACCTCGGGAAGCCGCCGACGTCTCTGTGTCTTAGGTCCTGGAACTAAAAGAAAAAGAAACAAAGAGGCCAGATGGCAGCTTTGGTTAAGGCTGAGGATACGGGGGACACGGAGCGGCGCTGCTGGGGACCAAGGGAGGACACGGGGCCCTGCAGCTGCGCCGGGAAGGCTCCGGCCGGGGCGGGATGTGGGGGGCAGCAGAGGGGCCGGCTCTGTGCCTGGGTGCCAACCTGCTCTTCTGCTCCGAGGCAGGAGCCGGGAGAGCGGAGCTGCAGGAAGGCGGGAAGGGCTCCGGCCTCGTGCGGCTCCGGAGCATCTCCGGCCGCTGCCCGCGGGAAGGGGCACGGAGCCGCCACAGGAGCAGCGGGCGCCTCCACCGGGATCGCAGCGGGTTCCAGTCGCCCCTGGGAGCAGGGAGTCCCCGCCGGGGCCGGGCAGCGCTGGCCAGGCCGCCGCCTTCCTCCTCCTCCCCGTTTGCCCCTTCCCACCTGGAAAAGGCAAAGGCGGCTGAGCCAGAGCTCCCCTGGCCCCGGCGCGGAGCTAAAAGCCGTGTCTTCCCGGGGATAACGATTCTATTATAAATAGCCCCATTAGCTACAACTAATGACAAAAATCCACCTCCTCTACTCCCCATAAGTTCTGTAAGTTATGGGCAATGCTACAGCCATTACTAAAAGCTGTTAACTTCATATCTGAATGAGGAAATATACACCACAGAACATTAAACCATTTATATTATATATATGTATATATATACTTTTTTAAACTAATGACTTTAATGCCAAAACTTTGCCGAACCAAGAAAAATATGGGTTTAATGTTCTCTGCTCATTTTTTTTTCTTCTTTAAAAAAAATACAACCCAAAAAAAAAGAAAGGGAAACTTATTAGTATGTAATGTTTGAGTCTATCCCATTTATACACAACATTGTAAACATATATAATCTATATTACATGTGCTTCATTTCTGCCTGGGTGTGGGTTTTTTTTTTTCTTTAAACCTTTTTTTTTATCACTAGAACACCACAAAACAAAACCAAACCAAAATAAAACAAACAAACAAACAAAAAAAACCAACAGAAAACTGAACAAAGAACACAAGTTACAGGTTATTTAACATCTTTTCTGTCAAGGGTCCCTTCCCCAGCCTCCTGGGGTCAGAGTGGTCAACAACAGAGTCCACGGGGGTGCTCGCGAGCCATCCGCGATGCAAAGCCAGCGCCAGGGAAGGGGGCGATGGGGAACACTGGTTTAAAAAAGGGGGCTTCACAACGAAGGGTTGGGTTTTTTTGCCCGCTGCAGATGCTCACGGAGGTCTCAACACGCAGGACCTGGGAGCCGGGGCTCCCTGCTGCTCCTGTATCCTCAAGTCCACATCTGGAGTCTCTGGGTCTTTTTTTTTTTTTTTTTTCTCCACTTTTTAAATTTTAAAACGTCTCTTTTTGCTGCTGCTGCTCTCTTCCCCCTGGTGTGACGAGCGGAGCCGAGTCCCGCCCTCCCGCTGGGTCCTTTCATAAGTAGATGCGCCGAAGGTCTCCGGGGGACGTGATGGTGTTGCACTGGGGACAGAGCTTCTTGGCACCCTGCGGAGGAGAGCAACAGCGTGAGAACAAGGAACGGGGACGGGGACGACCGCCCTGCACCCACCCTTGGCCTGGGAGCCCCCCGAGGGCAGCACAGGAGCCAGGTAACCCCGTCCCCTCCACGCAGGGCCCAGCGCGGGAGGGCTCCACACATCTGTGCCTCTCCTTCCTCAACAGGTACAGCTTGGTGGGCAGGGGCAGCAAAGTGTTCCTGGAGCTTCCACCTCTCTGCACAGCACACTGGAGAGAGGTATCTTCTGCAGCACCGGTCTGCTAACACATGAGATGCCTCAGCCTGCCCTCAGTCTAGCAGGAAGCATGACAGAAAGTCTGCTGATGCTCAAAACCATGTCCTTCTCTCCCCCAGGGCTGCTCTGCAGTGCTGAAAGGCCACCTTCCTGTAGCTCTGCTGGAGTTAGCAGAGATGGCTGGCAGGAGATGGCTGGGGAGCAGCAGCACCGAACCTCTCCCTTAGCTCACTGTGCCAAAAGCAGAGCTCAGCTGCTGCCTCTGCACTCGCCTGCACCGCGAAGCCCGTTCCGGGATCTGGAGATGGCCTGGAACAGCTGTAAGCAAACGTGTGTGCTCCCCTTTCCCAGGGCAGCCTCATGAACGTGGGGCAGAGAGCTCAGCAGGGGAACCTGGCACACAGGGGCTTTCTGCAGGGCCACCCTGATCCCAGGCAGCACGACTGCCCGCGGAGCACCGAGGCCCAGGGCTCCGAGTGTCCCCAGGGCTCCGGGTGTCCCCAGGGCTCCGGGTGTCCCCAGGGCTCCGGGTGTCCCCAGCGCTCACGTTTGCTTCAAGCAACGACTTTGGATCCTCGGGGAAGCCTTTGCTCTTTTAAAAAATAAAACTGCCACCCTAGGCAAATATCAGCATGTGTGTCAAACTCGGAACTAACCCCTGATTTTTTCTCTTTAGATTGGAATTGCTCAGGAGCTAGTTCCTTGCATGCAACCTTTCTGCGAGGTGCACAACATTTACTGGCATTCCAGCTCTCCTCTCTCGTGGGGAGGCACATAAGCATGTACACACACACGTGCTGGCACAGGTACAATGAAAAAGCCCTTGCTCCCCCACTGCTCACCTGCCAGCTGGGGTTACTAAACTTTTCCCTTGAAATAAAAATGCTGGGGAATAATAAGTCCCACCTGTCGGCCATTTCTTTCTTTTTCTCTTTCTTTTTTTCCAGGTCCTTCTGCTCCTTTCATCATGGCTTCATGGAAAAGCCTTGATGTGTTATAGCTGTGTGTGCTAGAGTAAAGGCCACCTCAGCTTTTCCATTATAAACCCCAGTTTTGAGGGGTTTATAAAACTCTGCTGCAAGAAGCTAGCTCGGGGGCTGTTAGAAAGCACAGAAAACGGACTGGAACCAGGATAAGTTTATTTTTTTTCTCCTCTTTTCTTAATTAAAATTTGGCAAGTGATTGATCCACAATACAGGCTAATCACTTGGGGTAGCAGTTTGAAAAATACATTAATGAGGGCTGAGATGTTGAGGAGTCGTTAGGGCTCACATGGTGCCAGGAAGGGTTAGAGTATTCTGTCTTAAATCTGCCTCTTAAAAGAAAAATTGTGTGATGTCTGCCATAAATTGGTTAAAGGAAGAAAACTCTAAAGGAAGGGTTTGGGCACTTCTTGCTGTCCCGTGGGCCTCCCAATGGGCAATTTCCAAGTGGAATACAGTACCAGGCAAAGAGAAAAGAAGCACACAGAGCAACTTCACCTACAAAGTACCACTGCCACGCGGAGCTCAACGCTTGCCTGTTTTCCAGGAAGGAAAACCAAGGCAAAGGGGTGACAGGAAGGTCCAAACCAACAGCCGGTTTCTGCCACACGAGGCTGGGGACTCCAAGATCCGGTTCTCAGACACGACGACAGCCCCATTCCTGCACACAAAGTGCCAGGAAACGGTAATTCCCAGCGCAGCAGCTGTTCATCACTGCCAGCAATTACCTCGAGCTTCAGCTAACAGGGTTAAGGCATCCGGGAGAGCATCCTTTTTCACGGAGCCTCCTTGCTGCATCCTCGCTGGCTGCTGGAGGCCTGAACTGCAGCGTGTTGAGAGACCCCTGGACAAGCTGGCAGCAGATGGGAACACTGTGATGGACCGAGCACAGAGGTCTCCATGTGGCTGTGGACTCAGGAAGACCTCATATGGAATAATAAGATATCTCGGCCTAGAAAAAGCTACAGGGCTCTGAATGCAGCAGCATAATCTACCAAAGGTATAAATGTGTCAACTGCAGAGAAGATGTACATATGGATGGATCCCCTGAAAGCATCTTCCGTGATGCCTTTTAAAAGTTGTTTTCTGCTGGGCTTGCAGTTGCCATTTTCAAATAAGCCCAAGACAAGCACAAGGCTCAGGTCAGCAAACGCAGGCAGGAAATGCAGGACGTGGCCCAGGGGGAACTCAGCAACCTGCACCCCTCCACGGCTCCATCCGCTGGCCAGCAACAGCGCGACTTCACTTCTAATTCCACCTCCTTAGCAAGGGAGGGCCCCAGGATTTGGGAGATGACGGAATCACCGCCCAGAGGGACTTCAAGAAGCCACCAAACCCACCCCTGTGGCAAGGCCACCTCAACCTGAACTACTCCCGGCAGACACACATCCATCCTGTCCTCACAAACCTCCGGAGACGGATGCTCCACGATTCCCCTGGCAAAGCACTGCAGCAGATCCCTGATATTTACTGTTGGAGCATTCTTCCCGGAAAGAGGGAAACAGCAGTCCCATCCACAGGGAACTGCACGGGCTCTCTCAGCTAACAGCGAGGGACAGAAACAAACCTCTTCCAGAGGGTGATTCATCCCCCACGTCCCAGCGACCGCAGTCCAACAAGCAGCTCGGCTCAGACGCCGCCCCGAGGACAGGCTCAGCTCAGGAAAACGAGCCCTCCCGCCTAAGTGTCCCTTGCTGCAGGGCTGTTTCCCTCTCCCGTCTTTGAAGAACCTTAATGTGTTTTCAGAGGCTTCCAAAAGGAATTCCAGGAAGGCCCTCCAGGCTTGTGTCCTAGTTGGTGTTTAACTTGAAGCTACAGCGAGCTCTGCCTCCGCTTGGCATGGTGCGGATGAATGAAACGAGTCAGTGTGGAGCGCCAGAGACAACCAGCACACGGGAGCCAACGCATCCGTCTGGTTGGAAACAGCAGTGCAAAAACAGCAGTCAAACCTAGCTGGAAATGGCCAATCCCATTTGCTAGGGACCCAGGCAAGAAGTGGGGTTTAGCCACGCTTCTTGCACGCCGCTGCAAGGGGAAGGAGACAAAACCACCTATTTGCAGCGTCCCGATGCTGGATTAAGGGCTGCTTCCTCCTTTCCTCCAAGGCCACCCTGAAGATGACCGCCTAACGGAGCAGCTTTGCTGGTGCTGAAGTGCTGGCTACCCCAACCGGCAGCACAACCTCTGTTCTCTTAACCCATCCCTAGGGGCTCCCTTTGCTGCGCAGACCCGCTCCCTGCTGCGACCCGGCTTTGCCTTCACGTTAATCCCACACAGCGAGAGGAGCGGGATGAAGTTTGCTCTGGTGGACGTTCCACCCCCACTACCAGCAGTCAGTTAGACGCATTGAGCTCTAGTGTAACAGCACCCAAGACTGAGACCAGCAGCCACTGGTAGGATCTACAAACATTTCCATTTCTCCTTTAAAAAGAGACCTGAGAGCCAAAAGTCAGAAAACTGTGTTTTCAGAGAGCCTAAACACTACAAAAGTCTTGTCAACGGCCTAACACCAGAGGACATTAGTGATACTCTGCTCCCTTCTAGCTCCTAGAAAACATTTCAACTTTAAGCCTCTTAAACACCATTGCACCTCCTCTGCTCTGCAGACAGACAAGGGCACTGAATTCCACCTCGTCCTCAAGGCCCCGTGTGGGTTTAGAAGTGTTCGTCCAGCTCCAGGGCCCTGCTAAGGTGCAGACCCCCCTCTCTCACACACATTCCCACTCCAATATCACGTCTCGCTGCGCACGCACGACACGGGCGCATGGGAGAATCCCGACTTTTCCCAGCACGTCCAAAAGCATCCGGAAGCCCAACAAAAGCCGCCCGCCCCAGCTCCCATTAACTCCAACAAATTGTTTATTGCACAACAGAAGAAACACGTCGCCCTCTCCCCCGACCAAGTCTTTCCATGTGTGCCGCATGCGCGGGCTCCCGCCTCTCGCCCCCGCCGGGGAGCCGGCTTTATATCCCGGGCAAGGTAACAGCGGCGATTATTGCCCACACTATCCCACAGCTCCTCGCTTGTTAAAGGCAAACAAGAGTCCCTTTTGTGCCCGAAATAAAAGGAGATACCTTAATTAGAACAATGCAGGTTGGTGAGCATTAAACACTGAGCCCAGCTGCTGTATGCCATTAAATTCATAAAAAAAAAAAAAAAAAAAAGGAGGGGGGGAAGGAGGGCAGTCTTAACGAGATTACACACATTGACTTTGATCAAGACACAAAAGCACCAAGGCGTTCCAGGGTTTTTATTGCTGTCTTCGGGCTACATTTTAATGGTTACATTAGAAACATGCGAACACAGGCTGGGAGATTTTTTTTTTTTTTTTTTTTTTTTGAGCCGGGAATGAGAGCGCAAGCAGGCCTTGTGAAAAGGCCTGGCTTAATAAATTGGGGGCTGCAGGGAGAGGCTAGGACTGGGGAACAGATGAGGAGCCACTTATTAATTGCTTCCCCTATGCAAGTGCCAAGTCCTACCGCGATGCCTGCTGGACCATTCCCATCCCGCCCGCCTGGTGGGCAGAAGAGCCCCGTGCGGAGAGCGCGGAGCCAACTCCGACCCCATGTCCCTCGGGGGGATCTGGAGAGGAGGCAGCTTCCCTGCTGCAAGGGCACATGCTAAACCCCGGTGCCTGCAGTGAGGCTTTCAGGCGCTCCTAAGTCGCTGCGAGGAGCTCAGCTGTTGCTGCTGAGCCTAAGAGCAGTTTGCAATAGGCGTGACAAACTTAACAGGTCACTTAGCTGGGACAAGGAGGGGACGAAGACTCCAGAATAAAGAAAAAGAAGAAAGTCAGTGCTTCACCCTGCTCGTGGTGCCACGGAAGAGTAAGACTTCCCTCCACCTAGCAGAGATGGCAGAGCGCACGTAGCCACATATGTGTCTTTTATAACATGCTGCTAAAATGTTTACAAAAGCTTGTATAACCTAAATAGTGACGGGGTGTAGCTGAAGGGCTATAAAATGTAGCCCAGGGGATAGCCAAGTTATTGAGTTGCTATTAGTACTCAAGCCCACAGGCACTTCATCGTCCTGGTAACTTTTTTTGGACAAGACTTTTAAAAGGCAGGATTTAAAGGAGCACGAACAGCTTAATCGTAATTCCAAGCGCACAACGTGTTCTATAAAGTGGATTTTGTAATGCCTTACAGGAATAGTTTTTTTAGGAGTGGCATTCTCTTACATTTTTTGCAACTCAACACTGTATCATCTTGCGAAGAGGAGAACTAGAAAGCACAGCTGGGTATTTTCCACTGCCCAACTTGACTGAAATGAAAGTTTGATTTAAAAGCCCACAGTTTTAACAAAGGAGAGGAAAACACTTTGCTTAATAACATCTTAAATTTTAACCTGATGTCCTCTACTACATGTACAAATTCCTCTTGCATTGGGTCATCAATTCAATATTCAAGGTAACCCCCAATTTTCTGAACAGCATGGAATACACTCGAAAGCTGCACAACGCTATTTCAAATAACCTCAAAAATATAGATCGAGATGCATAAAATCTCTCTTCTATATTATTTATCCTGAACATGATTCCGTTTGCTTTGGGTGAATATTAGCTTTCAGACCAGGAGATCTCAGTGATTTGGCCTCCATGCCCACAGCCTTACCTCTGCATGGATGCACCACAGGAAATTACAGCAACGCGGGGCTGTCCCAGCACCGAGCTCCGGCGGGAGCCGTGGCCGTCGCCACCGCGCTGCAACGCGCAGCACTGCCCTTCGCTTACAACAACACGACCACAATGCTGGGAGCCAACGCCAGAGCGGGGTGCTGCTTAAAATAAAGCAAAATCATCCCTCCCCATGCTGGTTTCAAATAAAGTACCCAGGAGAGAGGGAAAAATCTATGAGTGAACAAGAAAGGAGCCAAGTGCCTCACCAGAGTCCGCAGCCAGCATTCTTCACAGTGCACGTGCCAGCACTGAATGGAAGTCAGGGGCATTGTGTACGAATCCTGAGGAGAAGAAGCAAAGAGGTTATTCCCACATAAAGGATCCAGTGTTTTTTCACTCTCAATCCCATCACAAGACCCTTCTGTGTCCGTATGGTGTAACACACTAACTGCAGATAAGCTAACTGCACAGCAAGGGAGCCCAGGTCTGATCTCGATCTAGCACATAAGGTGTGAAGCAAAGGAGAAACAAAGCAGAATTAAAGTCATCTTCCATCAGCGACTTCCATTGACTTTGCATCTGCAAACTCTGCAGAGATAGCAGTGTTCATGTAGCTGAGGCAAGAAGTCTCCTGCAGTCCATTTTCCCGACTTCCAAGAACTCCTGCTGGAAGCTCATAATCCACTGAAGTGGTGACCTGGCTGAGCTCAGTTATCTCAAGAGCATCTAAAGCTGCTGTGGTCACCTGCCATTATTCCCATCAGAAAGGTCACCAGATTATACAAAATCAAACCAAACCAAAACAAATAAACAAAAACAAACCCAACCAGAATAAAATAAACAAATAAATAATAATAAAACCCAGCAAAAGTATAAGATTTACCCTTATCACAGCTATCTGCTCTGCAGGAACAGCTTAACTACATCCCAAGAACACTGCCATTATTTTATCAGGCAAACATTCTTCTGAGTAATTCCTATTATTGCTAATAAATCTATGAAAACCAGCAGCAGGCTGTGGTGGTGACCAGGGATGGGGGCTGCATCCCCACACCTCCAGCCACAAACCGAGGCGGGGCACCATTCGTCAAGCTGAAGTTGCACAGAGAACCCTTTGGAAAGCAGAATTTCCTCCCACTCTCAGGAGCTCACAAACCTTACAGGAGGTGAGAAGCTCTGCAAGCTCTGACCATCAGAGGGAGCTCCTGTCCTTCTTTGGGGAGGTCACATCACCACCGCACAGAGCAAGCAAGATGCCAGCAACTTTTAAATACTCGGCGAACATTCCTGTTCTTGAAGCACCCAGGGCACTTCAGAGGTTCTGCTCTCTTATGTGCAGGCAACTTCACACACGCAGGAGAACCCAGCCAATGCCTGGGCGTTTTTCACAGTTAGACTGAAAGGAGAGCACTGACTAGTGAGGTCAGGGCTTTCCTGCCTCTGATAGAGATGAGCAGCAACAAACACAAGTGGAACTACCTAACATATACAGAAATATCAACAGCTCAAAACATCCAGCACCTTCCTTCAAAGACAAAGAGAGTGGCCCTTCTTGACATACAGTTCTCCTACCCTACCCCAAAATAACAACAAAAAAGGCTTCTCTGCGCCAGCAAATATAAGGCAAAGGTACCAAGACATTTCTGATTCATGACCACAACTGGAGTGCTACTCACCATGCAAATGAGACATTTATAGCGGTCCCCACGGGAAAGCTGCCTTTCTAACTCACGGACACGAGCCTTTAACGCTTCAAATGTTGTCACTGCAGAGTCTTCTGTAATTCTACAAAAGATGATGGAGAGTCAGCATCACTGGGCATACAAGAATGTTAAGAGTTCAGGCAAAAAAAAAAGGTCTTAAGAGTAGGTATTACGGCACAGGCAACAGGAGCAAACTACAACATTTAACTTACGCTGAAGAGGAGTTCCTGAAAAGAGCAGTGTTAATTCTGTGAGCCCTGCTACTGAACACTTTTGGAGTTGTCACTATCATACAGAGCAAGTATTTGCAACACATGGTAACTGAAAAAAAATTTTTTTTTTTTTTTTTGTTTTCTGCCTCTTTTTCTGTCTCTCCCAGGGATTCTTTGGAAACAAATGCTTTACACAAAATTCGGTGTGCTGCTCTAGGGCTGGCGAGCTACCTTCTTGTAGGCAGCAGCAGTTGCTCTTGCCCTTAAGGAACCGATGTCTTTCCTGGCCATGAACCATGTAGGACACAAAAGCAGCTCATTACACAGAATCAACACAATGCAGTGCTTCTACACTGAGTGAGACCTAGCTTATTGCCTCTAATACTGAAAAGGAGGTAAAACCAAAAGCAATGGGCACTACCAATCGGGTCGCTATAAAAGCAGCTTTACAATCTCTGCTTTCCCATTTCCTAGGGTCATTTTTGATGGGCAGCATTATCTCTTTTGTCATCCAGGCACTGTGCTGAGGGCAGGTGAGTATATTTTCATGGTTCTGCAAAGCTAATGAAAAGAGCAGCTTGCCAACTTAAAAGCAAGGGCAGACAGCAATGCTGAGATGAGGCACGGGGAGCATTATGGACAAAGATGTGGCACTTCAGCGTGCTCCAAAATCAGACTTCTGCACTGTGCTGAGATAGGCAGGGACCCTAAACATTCCCAGAAGGGGGTTACAGAACATCATATGGATTTAATGCTTTCACTCTTGCGGACAAGAAACTAGAAGGCAATCTTCATTTACTTCAGTGAATTTTTGTGTATCACTTCATTTACTTCAGTGAATTTTCAATTATTTCAGTGAATACTTTTCAGGCCCATCCATGTACACCCCCCTTTAGAAGAACCTGAGCATTACCTGACCACCAGAAACTCCATTAATTGTGACACAAATCACAGTAGTACCAACAGGCTTCACCATTTAAGAGGATGAACCATCAACAGGTGGAACCACCACAACGGATAAAACGAGCTGCAACCCCAGCACTTCCCCAACACACACACACACTTGCTCCTTTATTCACCAGTCACTGTCACCAGCACCAGGCAGGGACCTGGAGCATCTCCAACATGGTGATTCTGCTGCCTGACCCCAGTGTGAAATGCAATCCTGAGCATCTCTTCTTTGCCACACAGATGAGGCTCGGCACACAGGATCAAACTCTAGTCTATGAGTAAAGCAAATAGTTATAAACTCTATTGGAAATGGAGCTAGCTGTGAAGAAATCTTGAGAGAACTTTCTGATTGTGACATTATAGAAGAAACTGGAGATGCAGGAGGCACGTTGGTTCAAGTAGCAGTGGCATAAAGCTCCTACAGCTTTGTACAGATCAGACACTGACTGCAAGACTGCCCAGGGACTGCTCCCTACAAGACCTGACAGGGGGTTTTCAGGAGAGATCTTCCTCAGAAAGAGATTCATTGAAAATGACAGTTCCTGGGAAACAGAGCCCATTTAAGGACTGCAGAAGAGGCAAAGAAATTCATGTGTCCCATGATAGCCTGGTAGGAAGGAACTCCCTGGGGAGCAGGGCACTGTGGATGCAAGCCTTGCTGTGAATAAACACTCTTTGGAGAAAGATTAAAGAGTTCAACAGGAGACAGAGCTCCCCACTGTGAAACACCTGCTTGCTCCTACTCGTTGGTATAAATTATTGTCACTCATGCCGTAGTTTTGCTTTCAGCTGCAGGGAATGGTTTGATAGTATTTTTCTGAAAAAAAAAATCTAGGAAGGTCTTGTCTGAGGGAGAAACATGTTTTTTTATTTATTACTTGAAGACAACTATGGGACAAGAAAATAATTTCCCTTTCAGCCTGGCCCATCAGCAAGCTCAGGCTGGACAGAAGCTGCAGCTGAATTCAATTTTCTGGAATTCCCTTCTCCCTCCTGCATGCGGAGGGCCCTGGAGCTTTACAGGGAATGAGCACAGCTCTCACCCAAAGTGGGCAGCAAGCAGAACACCAACCCTTGCTGAACAATCCTCCTGCTATCCATGTGGTATCCTTCCTCCTCTGAAGGACAGCTGACTCGGTGAGGAAAGGAAAAAGTGGGATCCTTGAGCAGATCCAAGCAAAGGCCACTTCATCCCAGTCCTAGCCCAATACAGTCGAAGCTTGAAGAAGAAAAATTTGCCATGCACCAAGTAGAGGAGATAGAAAATGGCTTGTTTATAGAAGTCTAACTGGCTGACCCGCACCGGCCAATTTCGGAAAGTCTCTGAGATAATCGCACCTGTCCAGTAATAAACGAATGAATCAGAAAAGGAGGCTGAATAGAGGTATAAGCAATAATGCTCAGAGGCCGCCTGATACAATGGCCAATCAATAGGAGGGCTGTAGATCAGGGTGCTAGTTAGCTGGAAAATTACCGCACCACTGCGTGCGTCACGCTGTAGGGATCCTGGACAATCAATGTGGGAGGTATTGATTTAGTTATTATCACTTCATACGCTCCAGACATTGTTAAATATACATTTATTAACAAGACTGGGGTGCCTTGGTAAGAGGGAGCTTTAGCCACTGCAATATCTCCCAGCACTGATCAAAGCTCAGCCCGGCCGGACTCTCAACCCCATGTTCCTCTCTGCCAAGGGCGCTCTTGGGACAAATCCTGACGCACAGCAGAGTGCATGAGATGCAGCTCCTGTCTCACAAGAGGGCCTGTTTTTGGCCACAAGTGAGTTTTTTTTGCACTTGAGATTTCAGGAAAGCCTCCTGGAGCAGCAGAAACCAGGGACGTGAAGGCCAAGGGTCAACCCAAAGTGAGCGATAATTACAGGGTTGCTTCCGAAAAGCCGGAGGAAATGAGGTCAAGGGAAATACGGAGAACATTAGTAAATAAAGGAAACTGGAACGACCTCCTGGGATAGAATAAAGACAAGAGTCACTTCCCATGTGTCTGGCTGCTGTGGTGGCCAGCACACTTGGGACACATGCCATTCCACTTAGTGACATTTTACCGTCAACCTGCTGTTTGTATCCTAAAGATAAGCATCACTTAGGAGCAACTCTTCCTGCAGCCCCGATCTTGGGAGCTCCGCTAGGCTTCCCTGTTGACTGCACAGCTCTCATGTCTTATTGGGAGAGGGACAGTTCAGTGTGGGTTATGCTGGATTTTTACATGGTAATGCCAGGGTGGAGTGAGGGTCAGACTCGATGGAAGGAGTACGATGCTCCCCCAGCTCCCCTGCCAAGGGAGGGAGGGGAATTACAGAAAAGAGGGAATCAGACTGCACACCCTACTCCCTGCTTTTCCTTGACCTGATGCTGGATGTGGAAAGACTACTTTGCATCTCAGTGCTCTAATGTGACACGTATGGGTAACATCATTTATCAGCCTCAGCAGAAATCTGCTGACCACAAGTGCTGCAAAGGGCTAAGCCTTGAGCTCCAGGTACTAGGACTTCTCCTACCACCTAAGTACGAGCGGCTTTCTCACACAAGGCTTGTCTTCTCTGGCAAAGACTTCTCAAGAGGAACACGTCATTGCTTAACTAACCTGGCAGGGGAGCTGCATCTGCACCACAGGTTGGGGAGCATGAGCAGGAGCCTTTATAGAGGAGCAGAGATATGAAAGAAGGGCCCTTCACAGAGGAAGTTTGATCTGTTTTTCTCTCCAGACTTTGTGGTCAACTCTTCAGCAACTTGGTGATCACACTTGAGGATGCCGCATACCAGGCAGCAAATTATGAGATCGGGAAAACAGCACTTGATAGTTTCCAGTCTCCGTGACCAAAGCATTCTTCTGCTGTTCATAGTAGGGTTTTGGCCAGCACTAAAAATAAGAGGAAAACTTTCTTCCTTTATCTCTCCCCTGTTGAATAAATCCATGTTTTGTTCAGATAAAGGGCCAGGAAAAGGGCATAAATACGCTATGCAAGAGAAAGAGGCTGTATCTGTACCTCAGCGCTATTACTTAGCTATCACTTCCTGGGAAATCTCCCCCAGGAATTGGCTGCCCCCCTTCACAAAAAAACTTTAACCCAAACGCTGGCTATTTGTCAAACATTAGCATGCATGTGATCTTTGTTTCTCCAAATTAAATCGAGCAATTCCTACCCGCTCTCCCAGTGGGCAATCACAAGCAATTCCGTTAATTAAATTATCTCTGATTCTGCAGCTCTGGAATCTCTCAATTGACTAAGTCTGTGCTTTATCATCAACAAAATACTGGACCAAAAAGGAAACAAAAAAATGCTGATGCCAAAGTGACTGGTTTCAGTTAACCCTTCCCAGCTGGATAACAAGAGGCTGCTCGAGACACTATTGGACTGGAATGGGCCCAAGAGGCTGATATCAGAGACACCAGTAACAGTTGTCCACCCAGGATTCACTTCATTATACAGGGAAAAAAAAAAAGAATAAAAAAGAAAAACACAAACACTGCATTCAACATCCTGCCTACTTGAAAAGCTTTAAAACATTCAAATTATTCGCTACTGAAGAGGCAGAAAAACATCTCAAAAATCATTAAGTTTCTGTGAATACCCCCCTCCGTCCTCCAGATCTCATTTGGAGTTCCCAGATGTTGGGACCTCTCCATACAACCTGCCCATTTGGTTTATTTCAACTGGGTATAAACTTCCCTTCTTCATAAATGGCCACACTTTCCATAGCATTCCATAGCTTTTTACAATTCCACTGTTTGTATGTACCTTGTAAAACACGCTTAGCGCTGATTAAATACACCACCAATAAAATTTCATGGGCTACTTCTGACACTTGATATTCTGACCTTCCTCTCTCTTCCTCATACATTTATTTGTTTCCATATGCCTGTAAACACAGAATGGCAGAGGGGAAAATTTACTGTA